TGTGTTTCATATCCTAAGATCATACTTCCTAGAAAAGAAAGATAATTGTGTTTATCTTGCAATAGTTCTAGACTTTTGCAGGAAATTTATGTAAACCTCAGTCTGACCCAATTTGCAAAAGTTTTCTAGAAGTAAATAAACAATGGGTAAAAACAACCAGTACCCCCACACATGTTCTTTTTTTCTTTTATTCAAAAATATTCATGGAATATTCTGGTAATATTTAATACATTTAATTCAAGAAGAGAATATTTCCTGAGCACTCATCTCTGCAAGGTTAAAGATAAAAGTAAAACAGAATATAATGCTACTTGCATTTTGATATTTAATGGTAGGGCCCATCAAAAATTTAAAGTATCTATTTTTAGGCCATGTTGATTTCAACTCTATTTCCTTTGTCTTCCAGGATTTTAGACATTTCTTAACACTTATTTGGATTTTTCCTGTGATACTTATCAAGACATGAAACCTGTATGCATCAGTCCTGTTATAACGATTGACAGGTCAAGCATCCCTGATTCTGTCTTGTTAGTGCCTGGGCCCTGCCTATTGCTAATTATGTTGACGATTATCCCTACTTAGGCTGTCAATACATTTAAGACAGGATCTGCCTACCTAAATATGTGTATCTTATACCATAGATATTTGATAAAGTTATGCATATTCGAAACACTAAACAATGAACTGATTCATTTTAGAATTCTGAGGATAGACTTTCTATAGGCATTAAGTCAGGTGGCTTGAGTGTACCCAGATCCTCAAAGCATGGTCCCCTGAGCATACCTTTGACAGTGATCTGTGCTATTGCTTCAATGACACCCAGTGTCGACATAGCAACACAGGTGTAATTTGCTGACTGTCTTACATCATTCAGTTCTAGGACATTTCTTCCTATTGGCATATCATCTTCAGGTGTCAGATCTTCTGCCCCCAACATCCACTTCACATAAGGCATTGGTGACCCCACAGCCACACAGGTGATATTAACGCTTCCACCTGGCATGATTTCATGATTAGTGGGTGGAATAGAGAATCTTGGTGGAACACGGCGAACTGGAACAAAACACAAGGGAAGATGATAACATATACAAGGCAAGAAAAAATTGACTTGTTAAACACATGACATGCACTGTACAGACACAATTAAACAATTGAAACGTAGCTTGGTTTTTCCGAAAACAAAACATAAAAAAAAAATACTGTGGATAATACAGACCATACAAGTATGGTGTGTGTATACACAGAAGAATTTATTTAGTTTAGTCATTGGTATCTTAGACACATTCATACAAAAGTTGATTCAGACCTACAAGGGCCCCACAAAAAAACTATCTACAAACTAACAATACACAAACATCATGCATAAGATAAACACAAAAACATATACATGCATGCATATAACATAATGATTTTATGCATGCACGTATATGAAGAAATGGGGGCTGGAAGGTCACCAGCATGTTTAAGTTGAGTATCAAAGCCAACTTCAGTGCTGTGCACTTCCAGTTGATGTGAATGTGTGTGTGGGACCACATTGTCACATCCCAGCCCTGGAAAACATCACCTAGAGTACACTGAAAGTGCAATTGATTTGCTTTCAGATTCAGAGGGGATGCAACCTCAAGACCTCACACTAACACTGGGACAAACACAGAGATATATACATAAACATCGATTTACAGTCACAGAAGAAACAGGCCAGCACCAGTAGAGATACTGGATTGGATCATGCAAGGCATGCACAAGAGGGAATCTCAAGGCCCGTGCTGAGGACAATGGGAGGATGGTTGGAGTCCAAGACAACAATGGCAGCAGAGGGAACGATGGGGAAATAGAACTCAACACAAAGGGAGGAGGTAAAGTACAGGACTGAATTGGGGATTTAAGGGATGATAGGGTTAAAGTTGGAAAATATGAGATTAAACTCGGGTTGTTAAAGGTAAAGACTGAAAATTCAGGAAGGGAGGTAGGTATTGCACACTCAGGATTCCATTCAGTTCGTATCTAAGGTAAGACAACATAAATGACACCAACATCTACTAAGATGCTTTTTTATGTATACATTCAAATTGAGGGACATTGGATCTAAAACAGTAGGACATGACATATTAAAGAGAGATCATATTAAAGCAACATAACACAGAAAAAATTACCAAGCAATTACAGTTCAGTGTTCCTGCTTCGGATAATCTGCATGTTTATGTGTGTTTAAGTACACGTGTTTTGGACATGGTACAAGGACAGGGTGAGAGATAAATAGGTTTCGTCTTGGGCTTTTATTGGCAAAGCATTACACCATTAGAATTTTAGATCGAGACTATCATCTTTAGGAGCATACCTTAATACAGAAAATAAAGTGATTTTGAAACTTATAGACTGGTAAACAAACAACCTCATAACCCCAAGAAGAAGATCAGTAAGTAATTCTGTCTGAAAACTTTTTGGCTGCACTTAAGGTCGAGATAAACCTTTATTGGTTCGAGAGGGCTCACTGCGATGGCCTCATGGGTGAATGACAGTCATAGGAGAAGAAGAGAGAGCTAAGCATGCCTCCTGCAGCCAATTCACAGAGGTTACACAAAGCAAGCAGGAGCCAGTGTAGACTCTGAGGTGTCAAAGAACATATCAAGAAAAATGGAGGAGAGTTTAGTCTTCATGCTTGGGATTACGGGAATAGCTATAAAAAGTCATTCTATGGGCAGCAGGCATCCTTATAAGACAGAAATTAAAGGGAGGGTGGGAGAGGGGAAGAGTGGAGCAGGAAGGAAAGCAGGAACACTGACCAAGTTCACTGGACCTTAGAGAGTTAAGTGTTACCAGTTCCCATGCACCCGGGGACATTCTCGCCCACCATGCACCACAGTTAGACACCACCAGCAAGCACCAGAAGCCATGGCCAGGGCATTCTCTGCTGAAACATACCATTAACCAAAAGAAGACCACAATGCAGCTACATTCATTTCATTTGTATTCTTTGTTATTGGTTTAATTAATAGTTTTGTAAGGTGGGTAAAAAGTAAAAAACACACCAACCTTCTCGCAGCTCTGAGGGATGTAGGGGGTTTGATGCAGAACACAATGAAATGAGGAAAGGAGAAAAACAAGGGAAACACAGAGAGAGTAAAAAGGCCATATCAAGGCTTTCAACTGCTACTTGAACATCTTTATTTGCTCTAGTTCATCCTTCCTATCTCAGCTGGAAAAGTTAGCAATACCTCATGGACTAACACAGTATTAGAAACAATAGCTAGCATCATTTTGAAATTTTTCATGGAAAAAGGTACACATGCCTCATGCAAAGGAGGTCACCATTGTGAATAAAAAGGATCAAGGGGTTTGCAAAGAATTTAGAGAAGAAATGGTTTTCTTCAGATTCCCCCACCCCAGACTCCACTGAAAGAAAGGAGAGAAAAACATCCCCAGGGAAACAAAATTACCTAGAACAAAAATTTCAAAATCAAGCTAGATATTTTCTTACGGGAACCCATCCTATTGTAGCCTAAAGCCCTCACAGTCTTTTTTCTGTTCCCTTCCCCACCCATGCCTTTTGTGGTTATTCACAGATATGTAGACGAGGAATATAAGAGCGTTTCCACTGGACAAAAAAACTACAGGAACCTGCTTTGAGAACTCCAGGGAAGAGGAAGTACTTCTTTCTAGTTGAAATGAAAGGCACAGCCATTCATAAGGTCAAAATTCAATCATTTCTATTACTTTATGAGAAAATAGGAATATATCCTCATAATTCATCTTGTTCCAAGGACAACCAAATTATTTTAAAAAATACAACCTGTTTCACGGCAATCAAAAGATTAAACTTTTCAGTAAGTCTTAATAATTTAAATAAATAGGAGTGTCTATATGTGCATATATATGTGTATATATATATATGCACATAAATAATACTGTATGCTTATAATTAAGAAAGCATAAAAAGAAGTAGGAAAATACAATTGTGCTATATGTATGTAGCACATGTTTTATAAAGTTAGCAGCTTTATCCTTACACTTCGGCAGCAGAGGTTGTGAAGATATAAACACATTTATGCTTGGAGTTGCACAGAGAACTGATTAGTAGCACACCAAGCAATTATGTCAGGGTTTGATAAGGAAACACAAGAGAAACAACCAAAAAAAAAAGAGGAAAACCTCAAACAAATGCAAGGCACAGTCCAATCAATGAAGTAAAAATAGAAACCAAGATGCAAAAATCCAAATATACTTACAAACTTCAAGCCTCAGGACAGATTATACTCGAGTTGTCTTTTTTTAAACAAAATACTTAAAAATTTTAATTCTGTATTTACTAAAAGGCTTCAGTTACTGTAACTATTACCAGATCAGCTTGTTAAATACTGACATAGCAACACAGACCCTGTGGGTATCTTAACTCTTCCTGAGCCCGAGTAGAGGAGGGGTGCTGGGGTTAAGTCATTCCTACCTCTGACATATAAATTGGCGGGGGCAGAATAGCGAGTGCCCGCGCTGTTGGTGGCAACACACTCATATTTTCCTTGGTCAGATTCTTCACTCTGTTCGATCTGAAGGGCTCCTGTATGGATATAAAATATATTGCCAAAGAGATGATCAGAGAAGGCTTTCTCAGTTCAGAACGCTAAACCTCTTAACAATATGAAAAGCCCTGCAAAGCGAAGGTCCGCTCAACGTCGATTCAATCTTTCGCTAAGGTGCACAGACAAAAAATGATGCGATGAGAAAAACATATACAGATTATTATTATTATTTTTTACATCATCAATGCTAGCATAAGAAAACAATATCTCTTTTCCCAAGCAAGACTTCTAGTCATAATTAACACTCTTATTTCCTAGACTAATAAAATGAAGATGGGTGAGACTGCTTCAAGGAAGTATGGCTTTTAAATAAAACAAAAGATTAATTTTTGGTTTTGTTTTGTTTCATTTTGGTATCAAAAGTGGCGCAAAAGGTAGGTGTGCTCAAAAAAAACCAGGCTGGGTTTTCAAGAAAGTCTTCTGCTGAAGAAAGGCAAAAATACGCAGCGAGCACAAAAAGGCTGCACAGGGTGAAAAATTAAAATTAGTCATTATAAGTTATCAAAATATTACTTAAAGAAACAAAACTCCCTTAAGACATGCAGACTTTGAAGAAAAGAAAGACAGTTCGCCACGACTTACAATCACTTATTACATGTGCTGAAAAACAAAGAGCAGTTGAATTAGAAGGTTTTTAAAAAGTTCAAAAGCACGGCCTATGCCAGCAAGGAAGAGCCAACCAACCACTGCTTGAGGACCTCGAGACAGATCCCCTAAGACACCCATCAAAATCCACCAGTGGGATTAGCAGTGTGGTGTCACAAAACCCCAAGAAAAATACAAAACAAGAATTACAAAAGAAATGAACACTGAGTCGAAGTCTGAAAAACCAGCAATACCACATACCCCCAAGAATACTGAGCACCTTTGGTTTCCATAGCCTGAAGGACAGAAGATCCAAAAATCCAGAGATGAGTCATCCAAGAAAAAAAGAAGTGGGGAAAAAAGCACTGCTGTCAGCTTGTAGGCGAGTGGGATCAGGCGGAAAGGGGAGTCATTCTTTGACTTTTAAGACATTAAGAGAAAAAAGAATTGAAGAACAAAAGCAAAAACCTTTTGAAAGATAAAGACAAAAAGCAGATGTTCCAGGCTGTCTTCTGCATGTCTGCCACTGTTCTCCAGACCACCTTGGCTTTGGTCCAGAACAAGAACAGCTAAGGAAGAAAAAAATGATCTTTTTTTCTCCGATTGGACAAAAAAGAAAAAAAGAAAAAAAGAAAAAAAAAAGAGGGGGAAAAAGAAGAAAAAAAAAAAGAAAAAAGAAAAAGGAAAAAGGAAGAAGAAAAGGAAAAAAAAAAGAGGGACAGATGGTACGCTGTGACTGGTCTGTGGTCTAAAGACCTGGATATGCTTTCTTTGAAGCATATCACAACTTAAATAATCATTTTCATAAAGAAAGAAATGAACAAAACAAAGAGAAAAAGAGAAAGGAAAGAAAAGTTCACAATGTGAGAATCACTGATCATAACCAAACAGTACAAAGGAAAAAAATAAAGTTGATGGACACTCCTGGAATGATTTTGAAAACAGGACAAGGATGAGAGGGATGAAAGGACAGAAAGAATGAGCAAGATCATTCTGTGAACGTTAGTTCAGCACTCTTACCTCTTATTGGTGTACCACCTGGGTGGATAATATGAATGCAAATAAGATTAGAAAGAAGAAGCATTAGTACGAGAAGGAGGAGGCTAGGGCTGGGGAGAAGAATTAAATTAGATTTACAGAATTAAATAAGGTCTTAAAAGAAACTTGAATTACTATACTGGTAAAACAGGAATATATTAGATGGTATTAGATCATAAAAGTTGCATTATATCACAGAGGGTAAAGACCACAGTCGGCAGCTTTGCCTTTCTCAGAGAAGCAACTGAGTTCTTAGGTCTTGGGTCATCTAGGGTTAGAATGATATCTGATATGCCTCAAATCCTTTATAAAAAAAGTACAAAAAAAACAAACTATACAAATTTTTAAAGACAAAGTTTAGGAAAATACTGGCTAATCTATTTAAGTATATATATAGATATGCATATATATATACTGTTATAGGAAATACTAAAGACTAGTAACAAAAAATGTTGGCTGGGTATATTATGCTACTTACTATGTTACGTTTGTGTGATATAACTTGTGTACTATTTTATTTTTCTATACAGTGTTCTTGCAATAACAGTTTTGTGGAGGTGTGCGTGTGCGCGCCACTACCGAAATCTGGTGCCTACACTGACAGTTAGTAAAATGCATGCCATGCATTTTATTAATAATAATAATAATAATAATATTTTGAATATGGAAATTAGTGGGGGTGAAGTGCGCTGCAGAACTAAGCACTTACCAATGGATTCTGGAGATTTAAATACGGAGAGAAGAAAGACAGCATAAAAATATTATTATATTCCTTATAATTTGGTACAAATTTTTCAGAGTTAAAGCTTTATATACTAAATCATCTATGTTACATGTGAATAATTAATTCTTTATTTACAATAACAGAATGCTAATCTACACAATTCTGCTGACAACAAGCAAAAGAGGCAGTTAACAAGACGCTTTAACATCACAGGACAGGTCAAAAGCTGAGAACTCTGGGAAGACAGGCAGTTAAGCAACTTAGAATTCTATATCACTACCAAAGTCAAAGTAAATAACTTATTCATATACGCCCGTGCGAAATTACCTAGGGACAGGCTCTTAAAATTAAGAAGTTTAGAATTATCTCTACTTTTAATCTAAAGAGAGCAAAGGAATAAACTTTGGGATGGGAAGGGGAGAGGGGAAAAAGGGTAAAAAGAGAGAAAAGAGCAAAAGCTGGAGTCTACACCAAAAGCAGACTTCTGTAGATCCAGTCACTGGAGGGCTCAAAACCTTTAGCGTGGACACACACTACTGTGGCTAATGTGCAGAAAATGCTCATTCACAACGATATAATAAAAGTTATTAATAAAAATTCTCTCCTTTGTTACTTTGTAAATGACTTTTTAAAAAATACATATGGTTACTCATGAGATTGCATTTCTGTGTTTATGTATTAGTGAAAAGAAAGCAGATGTGCCCAAACTTTCTAAACTTTGGTACTTTGGTGAGTTTAAATGTAGAAAAGACAGCAGAAAACACACTTTATTAAAATTGAATCATTTTAGTGTTTAACATGAACATTTTGTTTTTTAATGGATATAATCATTGGAACTCCTTGCAAGTTCTGAATGGAGTCCAATGTTGTGTTGAAATAAGTTTGTTTCAAAAGAAAACAGAGAAAGAAGAAAGAAAGAAGAGAAAATGGATCCGTCAAATACTGCGAAAACGCAGTAAATTAAAAAATTATCAAAAATACAGTCACAGCAGTGAGCAATGTGGATTAAACAGAAGCTGCAAAACACAGAGAGAAGGAGAAACTGGCTATGACATCACAGACATGGACAACATATCAATTAACAGAGAAAGGAAAGAGGAGAAAAATCAATACCTAAAAATTAAAAATAAATAAAACAAAAATAAAAAAGAGAGAGAAAGATTTAAAAAATTATCTAGGAGTCAGTGGAAACAGTAACAAGACCCTACCTGATCGTAACTGCTTAATACGACCATTGTTGTTGCTTGTGTCGACAGGTAAGAAATCTTTAAACCAGGTGATTTCTGGATCCGGATTTCCACTGGCCGCACAGAGCATGGTGGCAGTGCGTGTACGCTCAACCACCTTCAACTGTGGGCCCATGTCAATGGTAGGGAAGCCCCTGGGAATTTGATCCTCTGCAAGACAAAATGTGATACAAACATTATGCTAACAAGCCAGATGCTCAAAATTCAAGGGATATTACCCATAACCTCTCCCTTTACCTTATTCAGCATTTGTTGAGAACAAAACACAAACCAGGCACCACTGCACTATTTAGATTATGACACCATCACAATCACTATTTAGATTATGACATCATCACAATGTTGTCCCTGACTAGAAGAGTAAACAGTCTATGTAGGGGACAACAGACTAACACAAAGCTCAGAGAAGTGAAACACAGACTATGATGAGGGGACGCAGGAAGTTCTCGAAGAGCACAGGGAGAGAAGTCATTCCAGTATTTGTGCCTGAGGAAGTCAGTGAGAATCAAGAGGGCGCTCTGGTTTGAAACAGTCCTTTAGGAAAGAGTCAAGTGGGCCAAGTCGCAAAAAGAAGGGGATTTTAGAATGATGGGACCGTCACAAGCATAGGCATTGAGGCAAGAAAGTTTCCACTGAGGGAAAAGTGTGCTACAGTGGAGAAGGAACAGGGAGGAAGCAGCAACTTAGCCAGGAGCCAGGGTAAGCTCTCTGTACTCGAAGCTGATATGTTTTTCTTATAACTTTTTAGTAAAACTGTATATATTTTTTCACACAAGCCTAAGGTTCAATCCAAGTGAATTACTTTGTAAGGAGTTTCAATTAATCCCCAAATCATCTGAGAATGCTTTCCAAAAGAAGAGTAAAAGCAACTCCCCTTTACTGACACAAAATCATACTACGTTTCTTAGAGTAAAAGAATTCTTTCTTTCAAAGGCCTGCACCATTGTCAATAATTAAAAAGTTGAAATTCTTAAATGTTGAGTCTCCAACTCATTCGAAGTTCACTTCTCCCTACCCACATCAAAATTGTTCCAGGTCTCAGATCTTCATAAATGAAAGCCCACTTAGATCTCCCAATCACACCGCACATTGATAACCTACATTGCCAGCTCTTCCAGCCAGGATTAGAAAGGTGTATTCCATCCAAGCATTGAAGAAAATGGAAACCTAAATTAGTTAGATGGGTGATAATACTCCAAATGAGAATTTAGCAATTTGTTTGAAGACTATTATGAAACATTTTGTCTTCCAGTTAGTCTTGATATTAATTTAATCAACACTCCCTCATGACCACTTGTGAATTTTCATGAGCCACCAATTCTAAAATGACTCAAAAGCATTAACACCAGTAAAAAAAAAAAAAAAAAAAAAAAAAAAATGGAAGTCATCATATGTGGCATCTAGTTTCTCCAAGCCCTGGTATGACCCATGAATCCACAGTCAATCCTGTGAATCTCATCGAGATTGACTTATCATCTCTAGTGAAGGGGCTCCATTTTGATGGCTCCAGTGTGCTGTCAGTCAACTCTGTGTTCTGTACTGTCTCCCCTCCACAGCCTATGGGTAAACCTAATCTCCTAAACCTGGCTAGCAAACTCCTTTCAAATCAGGTCCCATTTTTCTCAGCCTCTCATGGGTCACTTCCCCCATGGGAAACTTTTCTTCTGACCATATGAAATTCTCACCTTTCCCCAGACAATTATGTCTGTTAAGTACTCTGTGCCTCCAGAAAGCCACCCAGCAAAAATCACCTTCTTTGTAAAGCATTTCCAAGCTCTCTCAAACACATTTAATCTTTTCCTCCTCAGAGCTACCATAGCAGTGAGTATCTACATCCAGTGTCTCGTACTTATTAGTTATCAGTTTATCCCTCAATAGCATGAATTCCTTCATGTCTCATTCATATTCAAATCCCCTGCCATCGCACTAGCTTAAATTTCCAGATTTTAAGAACAACTCCTGTGATTCCCAAGCCTAAGTATGAATATATCCCAGTGATTATAGAAAATTTTTCCTACTACACAGACCTTCAGGTAGAGAGGTCATCAGAAGAATAGTTAAGGACTGGAGATCTCGAATTTTGGATGTGAATGGTGAAAGAAAGTCAAGATACCACCAAAGAATAAAGCTCCCAATAAAGGAAAAGTTCAGTGTTCAACAGGTCCAGATTATTATAAAAGAAAATTGATGGGCTTATAAGGAAAAGTAGACTCTGGCTGTCCCACTGGGCAGGACAGAGGGTCCGTGAAAGAACAAAAGAAGTTGTGGCAAATTGAGTTTTGACACCTGGATTCACCAGAGAATACTTTCCTATCAGACCAGGGAGTTAGGGCTAGGGACTGAAAAAAAAAAAAAAAAAAATCAAAGTAAATTTCAGAGAGCTACAATTTACCTAAGTGGAAAGATGTGGCTCTTTTGAGGAAGCAGTAATACATTCTGTTTACATGAATGCTTACACACCTTGTCCACTGTAGACCTCTGCTTAGCTAAGTGACAGAAACAGTGGGGAAGAATGGAATTTCAGAATGATTGTAAGGATCCGAGGCAATGTTAAAAATTAAAAATGGAATGAGGAACACCTTGAAAATTAGCTATGCCAATTTTAACAATCTATTCCACTTGTATTTCCTCAGACTGCTCTTTGTGTCTTTAAAGGTTTTGCCAATATATTTACATCTGCAGCATAGTTCTAATGTTGTTAGAATAAAAAGAGCTGCAAGATCAATAGCTGCTGTACTGCACATATTATATTATTAAACATCTCACTTGGCAGATATTGGCACAAAATGCTTCAAAGGATAAAAATAATTTACCTCAAGCGCTTGAAAGTGAACCACACTGCCTTTATCATCCAGAAATAAGTTTCTGAGAAAGCCTTAGATTTTGTTGTTTTCATTTTTAAAGCAACCAACTAAGGTTAATAAAAATAACCTTGGGATTCCTGAGTGGTTTTTGTATTTCCCAGATCACTGTATCTCTCCCATGGTGTTTTGTTAACTACTAGTTACACTGGAATGCATAAATATTGCTGTGCTAGTCATTAGTTTTCTTCTACAAGTTCATCTCTCTGAAGAACATCCGATATTCAGTGCTGATCCGTGGCAAGTGTCAAAGGCTTAACATTGTTGAGCCACTTACTAACGGCTCTTACCAAAGAAATCTAGATTTAATAACCATTTATAGGAAATGAAGTCCTCACCTTGGGGATAGCTGACGAAATTGACTTGTGCCCTCCCAAAGCAGTCTAATACGTTTGCATGACCTTTCTTTTACTTCTTGGCTCATAAAGTACACTCCAGAGCCCCCCTTTCATATACACAAATGCACAACAAAGATAATGTTTCTTGCATACTAATCGGACAGAGAATGTAAAGAGCGTTCCTTTCTTATTTTTAATAAGGGTAATTAAATTCTCTCCATCCCCTCTTTGCACAGAATCTCTTTGAATGCACTTTCTTCATTAAATTTTCATGAGAAACATCACAATGTAACAAATAGCCAGAGCTGTTACAGGTTGACAGCTGTGGCTTGTTTCCAATTTGACTGTCAGGTATTTGGCAATAAAACTCAGTATTCGACATAAAATGAACTGTAAAAATAATGAAATTTCTAATTGGAATGCTTATCTCAGTGGGTGTAGTTTAGAAGACATTGACTACTTTTTTTTTTTACCTTCTACATTTATTAGTGATTTATATAAAACTGCCTTGGCCATTTAATAATAGCAATTTTGACAGCTCATCAAATGTGTGGGTACCAGGAACTTGGGAATCAAATCAATACCCTTTATACCTTAACCACATAAACTTCCACAGGAAAAAAGCAGCTATCAGAAATTAACATATTGTCAATATGTTAGTAGCTTTAAAATTTTACATAAGGTGAAAAGAAAAACATTTTGTCCTATTCATTAATGTGCTCATTAAGCTTTAAAGTGCCTTACTTATCACTGTTCCATATTAATATTCAATCATGCAGAATTAGCTACTAATTCATCAACAATTTAAATCAGACTTGACCTTCACAAAGCCATTTTGGTCTGTCATTTTGAGAGGCCATTAAAGGGCAGATTACTACGTATTTGTGCTTAGTGAATCATAGAGTCATACATATTTTGTTTGGAATGGCACCTATAATAGACCTGGAAATACAGCACATTATTTGAATCTGTTTGGTGTCTTAATGAAATATGCTGATATGAAACACTCAGTTCCACTAAGGAAAGAGAAAAATAAATGTCAGCACTTTCCAGAGTTAACTTAGTTGCCATAGAACTTATTAACAACCCCTAACCTACCCAGGACTTGAAAGAAATCTATGAGTAAGAGAGTCTGATACTGTACTGTAGAGAGTCAGGCCTTACATATCTGTGAGTGATCAAGTAATAGCTTTTGCATAATTTGCTCAGTTAAACTGCTTTCATTGTTCACCATAAACAATTTTAATGATGCTTTTACTTTCGCTCCAATTCCACAAACACTGAACCTCGCTTATTGGAAAGGAAACCATGAAACTAAATTGCCTGCTGAGGCCACAGTCCCCTTCCAAGGTGGCCCCAAACAGTTCTTACCTAATCTTGCTAGGGCTCTTGCTGAGTGAATTTGACCAGACTAGTCCTTTGACTCTGGTCTCAATTGATTTAAAGTATTTCATGGACTGTTTGCCATAGTCCTTGGAAAAAATCCCAATTTTTCAGATTTACCACAAATACATTTATGAAGAAAAATCATGTGAATTACATCGTATGCTTCTCCAAATTCACTGTTAAAAGATTTGTCAAGTACAGCTGAACATTTTGATATCATTGATGATACAGGGTTTTGATAACAGTAGTCTAATAAAGCAAAATCTAAACCTGGGAGAAGAGACTAGCAGCTCTTCTCTTAAAGAATTCGTCCTCTGGAATCATTTTTCGGAGTGCCAAGCAATCTGTAGTGGCCCCTCATTAAAAAGCCCCCAACTGGTGTTACCAATAAACCCCTTACTACAGTGAATATATGTGTGGACTCTTACAAGCTCATGGAGGGCAGGAGCTATTTCCCTTGTAACCTTCCTAGTGTTCAATAAATACTCACAATCAGACATGTTTAGGGTGCCTTGACAACCATTTCAGCACTCACTCATAAGGCATCTCGAAATTCCTGTTGGGC